TTGTAATAATTGCAAACTGTTTAATTTATTTTTAATATTAATTTAATATTTTTTTTATATATATATATAATAATATCGAAATTAAATTAAATTACTTATTTGAATAAATTTCTATTATTATTATTATTAAATTGAAATTATTATAAGATGACTATACTTTGATATTTTTTTTTATATTCACAAATACTCTCATCTCAGGGGTCAGTTCTAGCAACAATATAGCACAATTCATCGAAACAACAAAATTAAAACTCGAATCATAAATTACTTATGACTGTATTATAAATTATTAATTCAATGGTGGTTCCAACAATTCCAATATTTCTTGTATTTCTACAAACAATTGTAAACAATAATCCTCAGTTAACACTATTTACGAAATACTAAATTCTAAATTATTTTCATATATAATCAACTTTATAAAGTAAAAATATTTTTTTTACATGTACTAAATTTTCAAAATTATTTTGTTTCCATTCTCAAGTTGATTACATACTATTGCATATGCTTGCATGTAATAGTTTATTAATCTAAAATTTCAACACTTATAACACTTATTATAACGTTTGACAGTTCCTGTCAAATTAATTTTGTCCTCCAGTGAAACTTCACAATGTCTTTCTACTGTCTATGCATTTGAATATGGCACTATTAAGGTAGGCTCGTTAATATTACATATATTATATTAATTCTCAAATAACTTGAAATGTTCAGAGCTGTCAAATTTGTAACTTATTGTTGATACTTTGATATTGACTTTCACAAATTAATTATGTAAGTACCTTTTTTTTTCTCTTCTTGAGTAGTAGGAGTTGAGTTATTTTCTCACACTGCTAACCAACTGGTTACCTAAAGTTTATTTTCATACTCTACTTTTACATTATCTTCTCTGGAGGTTCCTCTATGCATCTACTTGTACGTAATATAAATTTCCTTTTGATTTTACTATTCTGCTCCGCTTACTTCCAACTTTTTTATTCTTCCAATTTGACTTCTCTCATTTTCCTTTTTTTTTTGTAACTAATTTTGTTTTTCTCCCTTCTTGTGCTCGTTCCACTTCTCAAATCCATTTTCTGTAGATTTTCCTTCTAAATTTTCAATAATTTTTATTTTAAATCTCAAACGCTTCTTCTAAATTCGAAGAGCCCCACGTTGGGCACAAATTTGAAGTGTAAATATTATAAGTAAAAATTAACAAATGTCAAATAATGACAGACTGAAGGCAGATGGCAGAGAAAAAATTCAATAATAGGTTAAACAATTTGGTAATGTAAATAAAAATAAAAATATTAAACAATAATTCAGGGAAATTAATATAAAATTTGTCAGTAGAATATTAGAAAAGTAAATAATAGATAATAAAGTGTAAAGTGTAGTGAAGAAAAAAAAGGGAACATTAGAAGAAGAAAGGAAGGTGTAAGGACCTTAAAGAATAGTGAGGATGAAGGAAAAACAAAAGAAAGAAGAAAAACGAAATTAGTTAAAAAATAAAAAACGAGAAGTGAAAGAAGTAAAATTTGAGGAATTTAAAAGTTGGAAGTAAGTGGAGCAGGATAGTAAAATCAAAAGGAAATTTGTAGTATATGCAAGTTGATGCATAGAGGAGCCTCCAGAGGGAAGGAAAGTGTGAGGTTGGTGCAGGAAAGTGAACTTCAGGTATCCAGTTTGTTGGAAGTGTGAGAGGAGAGGAACTACTCAAGAAAAAAAAAAGGTATTTTCAGTAATTGATTTGTGTTATGAAAATCAGTATTAGGGTGTCAAAGATAAATTACAAATTTGACAGATCTGAACAATCTAAGTTATTGTCGAATCAATGTAATAGATGCAATATTAAAGACCATACCTAAGTGGTGCCATATTTAGATGCATAGACAGTGGAAAGACATTGTAAAGTTTTACTTGAGTACAAAATTAATTTGATAGGAACTGTCAAAAGTTATATGTATCATTAGTTCACTAAGTTGTTGAGAATCTAGATTAATAGTTATTACATTCAAGAATATGCAATAGTATGTAATCAATTTGAGACTAGAAATATAATTTTGAAAATTTATTACCTGTATAAAAAAAAATTTTACTTTATAAAGTTGATTATATGTATATATAAATAATTTAGAATTTAGTATTTAGAAAATATTGTTACCTGGGGATTATTGTTTACAATTGCTTGTAGAAATACAAGAAATATTGAAGTTGTTTGAACCATGATTGAATTAATAATTTATAATACAGATATAATTTATGATTCGAGTTTTAATTTTGTTGTTTCTATGAATTGTGCAATATTGTTACTAGAACTGACACCTGAGATGAGAGTGGTTGAATATAAAAAAATTATCAAAGTATAGTGATCTTATAATAATTTCAATTTAATAATAGGGATAATAATATAAATTAATTCAAATAAGTAATTTAATTTTGATTTCAATAATATTATTATATATAAAAAAAAAATTATTAAATTAATATTAAAAATAAATTATACATTTTACAATTATNGAAAAAGTTAAAAAAGCTCTTCAACAAAATGGTTTCTCGGATAACAACATCAAGAGAGCATTAAGACCACGCCACAATAGAGAACGGACCGAAGAAGATAAACCAGTTGCCAAAGCACTCCTTCCATATATAAAAGGAACCACTGACAAAATCAGCAAAGTACTGAAGAAACATAAAATTGAAACTGTCTTCAATACCGACAGGAAAATTGGCAACATTCTTCCATCAGCGAAGACGAAGATTCCACTCGAAGGTCAAGGCGTTTACCAGATTCCCTGTGGCGACTGCGAAAAATCATACATAGGACAAACAAATAGAAGAGTTCAAACACGAAGAGAGGAACACAGAAATGCTGTAGAAAAGAATCAGGCAACCTCTTCTTTGGCGCAACATGCGAAAAACACCGGACATAAAATCAATTTCGAAGAAACAAGAATCATTGCCAACATAGAACATAAAACCAAAAGAATTATCAGAGAAGCCATAGAAATCGAAAAACATACAAAAAATCTAAATACACGTGACGATACACAAAGGCTCCCAATAGCTTGGAAACCGATTCTCGCAAACAAAATCATCAGAGCGCGACGCAACGCTTCACCAAGCATGACATCTGACGCACCAACGAGCAGCGAACCGAGGCGAAAACCAGTGAAGGAGAACGCGAAAATAATATATAAAGCAGCAGCAGAGCAGGTAAACACCAGTTCACAACGTATTACACGAAGTAGAACAAAGAAGACTTGAAAATGGCAAGTGTGATCTTGCCGAAACGTCGTCCAGAACACGATTCTATCCAGAATCAAGAAAACCATACGCGGAGAGGAACCCGGAAACATCTTGACAACACATATAATATCCGCGGAAATCTGAAGTTCAACATATATATATATCCTTGCAAATAAGTTTTTAGCCGATTTTACACATTTCCTAGGGGCACCACGTGGGGGTAACTTTCATTGCGCCTCTTTTTTCTTTTTTTTTGTAATTTCTTTCATTTTTTATTTTATTTTTTTTAATTTTTATCATTTTTTAATATTTAAAGTTTTAGAATTATACAGAAGAAAAAATAAAGGCCAATATTTTAAAATTATTTGGTATAGTAAGTAAGCTCAAATGTAATTTTAGATGTGCTGAGATGAAAAAGTAGCTACTGCTTCTTTTAATCGTTTTGGGAAAAATTGATCTTCGATCAAATTTATTTTAAATCTTTCTGAAAATTTAGCAAACTCCCTGTGAATCGATTCCCCAGCTTGTTCAGACCATACTCCTAAGCCATCGTTGTTCAAGAGCACAATTACTTGTTTCAAATGATCTAGAATAACATGGATTTTGACGGTTTGAGAAACATCTGTGCTTTTAGCATTACGGAGTTCATTAATATTTTTCAAATGGAGAAGAGACATGGATGAAGAGACATATATTTAGATAAATATATTTGATGACACCTGCAATTGGAAAAAGAAAATCTACGATGCTAAAAAAAAGCTTATATACAGTGTGTTTCACTTAAAGTCGGGACACCTCCGTATTTAGGATGGCGTTGGCGGATTTCTAAAATTCTTTTTTTTATGTGGTAGTACTCAAAAAGGCCTACTTCTTGACATTATGTTTTTTGACGTGATCTTTTCTACGACTTTTCTATCATTAAGAAAAGACCCTCAAAAATTAAAAAACATATTAGGCATTTTTTTAAGAAAGAAATGGATAGCATTTTCGATTTGATCACACCTCAAAACCCTAAATACAAAATTTCATTATTATAGCTTTTACAGGATGTTAACAAAATAGGTGCAAACTTCGAAAAATTCCACGTATTGCAGTGTCCTGTATTAACAGTGGAAAATATTTTCAAGACATTTTTTCATAATTTTATTAACCGAAGGTATGCCCATGTAGTTTAATTGATTTCACTCATACAGGGTGCTCACAATAGGACAGCAAAATTATATAATTATACTTTTTATTATACCAGAAATGAGTTTCACAACGAAATAATATTTAAATATTACTGTTTTCTATTAGTCCACATCATTTGGTATGCACTGTTCAATTTGTCTCATCTTATTTCTAATAACTCCTCAACTGATGTGGTGTTATTTGTCAACATGTTTGTCTATTACATAAATCTTCTCTATTCTGGGGTCTTGTTTTATACATTATCTTTTTCACAGTTCCCCATAAAAGGAAATTAAGAGGCGTCAAGTTTGGAGCTCTTGACGGCCACTCAACTAACGGACTGTTGCGACCTATCTACTTTCTCGGGAAATACTCATTCAACCAATGACGTACTATATACCGCATTATGAATAGGTGCTCCATATAATTGAAGGTAAAGGTTCTGTCTTTCATGAAAGGGGAAATGCATGTACTGAATCACAGACATCATTGTTTAAAAAATTCATAAAAATCTCTACATTTAGATTAACGCGAAAAAGAAGGACCCGATTATTCGATGTCATAAAATCCTACAAAACACGTTAAGTTTTTTAATTAAGATTTATGTAATATAATTAGACAAGCATGTCGACAAATAACACCACATCAGTTGAGGAGTTATTAAAAATAAAAGGAGAGGAATTGAAGAATGCATGGTGGACTAATAGAAAACAGTAATACATATTTAAATATTATTTCGTTGTGAAACTCATTTCTGGTATAATAAAAAATATATATAATTTGGCTGTCCTATTATCCCTGTATGAGTGAAATCAATGAAACTTCATGGATATACTTTCGGTTAATAAAATTATGGAAATATATTTTTCACTGTTAATAACGGACACCCTGCAATAAGTGAAATTTTTCGAAGTTTGCACCTATTTTGTGAACACCCTGTAAAAGCTATAATAATGAAACTTTGTATTTAGGGTTTTGGGGTGTGCTCAAATCGAAAATGCTATCCATTACTACCTACCACATAAAAAAAAAGAATTTTGGAAATCAGCCAACGCCATCCTAAATACGGAGGTGTCCCGACTTTAAGTGAAACACACTGTGTATATGTTTCAAATTTCAATTTTCCGAATGTGGACAACAAAGCGCCGTCTAATTACAATCAATATATATTTTCTTGGGGATAAATTATACAATACGTACGGTACATGTTAGATTGAAAAAAAAAATAGAATAACTAATTTTCGTATTTAAAAAAAATAAACTTGAGCGCACACGCACGTGTGTGTGTTCATATTTTAAGTTATTATTTATTTAAAATTTATTATTTATACAAAATTTAAGACATTATCTATTCAAAATTCCATAAGAAAGTTTTTAACCATCGTAATTCTTACCTACTGTGTGTGATATATCATAAAATTTTCCCATAAAAAGACAAAAATTAGAATATCTTACAAACAGGAGCAGCTAGGGTTTCATTTCAAACGGCTTTCGACTCTCTTTTCAAGTACAAATATATCGCCGCTTTCAGTTTTTTGTCATCATTTTTATGCGATTTAAAGTTGCTTCCTGCCCACCATGACATCACATGCACCAAGTAAAATTTAAGATTTACATTTTATTACCTTATAATGTGAAGCTACATATAATGCAACTAATCTCTGTAGAAAGTCTTCTGATGCTTTATGGTAGCTAAACAATGTGTTTCTATTTATATAATATAAATCACAATTATCTGGAGGAGGACAGCCAGATAAAATGGGTAATACAAATGTTGAATCCAAACAAAGCAACTTTGTTAACCAATTTTCAATAGGGTCATCAATTTTGTACCGAATTGATTCTTCTAGAGTAACCTAAGATGTATAAAAAATATAATCATAATACAGAATGTCGGGGAGCAAATACTTCAAAGATAACTTCATTCAATGAAAATAAACCGAAGGTGCAATCTACTGAAAAGTAGCCGTAAGTTTGCAGTGTTATCAATGACACATTATCACAAAAGCAGTAGCAAAATTTTGATGAGGCATTACAATATTTAATATAATTAATTATGTATTTAATTGAATTGGTTCGAATTAGTTTTACCTTTACAATAGAGATTTACAAGAGCTGATAACAGAACATATTCTTTTATTTAAGCAAATCCTGATTTATTTATTGTTTTTTGAGTTATGAGTTATCAAATTGGTCAACAATTTAGGTCGATCTTCTAATTATGATACTAATTCGATATGGACACTATAATGAAACACGTGTAAGTTAAATCACGAAGCGTTAGCCTCATTAACAAAGATCATATCGAACTTGTATCATTCAAAATTTAATCTATGATGGTCCAAATAGATCTTATTTGCAGATTCGATTTATCTTAAAATATCAGAAACGTCATAAATTGAAATTCAAAATTATTTGATGCTCTTATTTGACGATATAGACGAACGGTCCACCCCTAAAAAGATGCTCAGAAAATCAAGGTCACCGACCACGAGGAGAGGCCAGGATGAAACCTTTTGTAATCGATGCATTGAGTTATTGGTAACAAAAAACCTAAGTAACATCTTTGTGTCCGAGTGGCAGGTAATTTGTTATTAACAAAAAAGTTACAAAATAAAAATATTACAAAAAAACGCTATTTTCCAAGATAAATTGGGCAAAAATAAACACTTTTTGTCTCTTGATATTTTTCCGTAGAATGCTTCCTTTTCGAGCTAGGGGCGATTTAATGTCGAAAAATGGGTAAAAGTTGCCAACTTTAAAAATTCATATCTCAGCTCCTACCAAAGCTTTCGGAAGGTTCAAAAGCGCAAAATGATCCTCGAGACTTATACTTTAATGTAGTATTTTTTTAAACCCGCCCCTTTTTTTTCAACCCGTTAAATTTGCAGCTGAATTTCGGCCGCTAGTGCCCACGCGCCACCCCTACGTATCGCTATATATAGATATAGGGCTGTCGTGCATATAATCGAATAAACGCTATTCATTCATTACTTGTTACAACTTTTACTATTTAGTATTTCTAACACTCATACATATTTATAAATTCATCAAATATTGTATGTCATATAATTATTTATAAGAATATCATATTTAAATGGAAAATAATATGTATTACGTTACAAATATATTGATTTATATTTATAACTGTATCTTCATTAATGTAGCTTCAATAATAATAACTATACATATATAACTATATTTATATCAAAAAAATATTTAGAACTAGAATATAAAATGTTATAAAAGGATACGCATAGATAGTCAACCAAAATATTAACTAACCGAGTTTTCGCAAACGTGCGCTTATGCGAATTACTTGTTATAACTTGTTTAAACAAATGCAATGGATTAGACTGCAGCGTGTCGCATGGATCATTAGTTTATTGTCTGGCATCAGGCAATAACAGTGAACATTTGACAAATAATGTATAAAAAATAAATAATACATTTTCTACAATATTCATTTGTGCTGTCATAGTGCAACAATCCTTTATTAGTCTGTAAACAATCATGCAACGTATGTGAATATTCAATGTTGTATAAAACTGCAGGTAAGTTTTCGAAAAATATTCTTGTGCTATTCGTTATTTAATACAATATTTATTATTCCCAATAGCTAGTATGTACATGATAGTATAGTAAATATCGAATCATCATGATACCAATACCATCATCAATACCTCCGGCAGAGCCTGTATTGTTGCAACATGTTATGCGTGTTAAATGGCAAATCAATGAATGGTCTCAAGCAAGATCTGCAAGCATAACATCCTTCGACCCAACACAATATGGCTGGATATTAAAAAATAATGTATTGTGCTACAATTATTTTGAACGAGATACGGCCATGGAAATGTTACAAAAATTCATATGTTCCTGCAGTGGAAAGTTACCCTGCAGCGATGAAGACATTTGTTCTTACTTATCACAAGGCTTCAAATGTTGCGATCTTTGCAATTGCTCTATAAAATGTCAAAATGCAGAAATACAAACTGATGATACTGATTCGAAGACTGAAAATTGATTTTTTATTAAATAGTTAAGTTTATATTTAAATGTAAATATATTTTTTTGTATTAATAAATACCTTTGATATATGCATTATTTGTAATGTTTAATTAATTTATTTTTCATTTAAATATGATATTCATATTATTAAATCTTATAAATAATTATATGATATACAATATTTGATGTATTTGAAAATATGTATGAGTGTTAGAAATACTAAATAGTAAAAATTGTAACAAGTAATGAATGAATAGCGTTTATTCGATTATATGCACGACAGCGCTATATCTATATATAGCGATACGTAGGGGTGGCGCGTGGGCACTAGCGGCCGAAATTCAGCTGCAAATTTAACGGGTTAAAAAAAAGGGGCGGGTTTAAAAAAATACTACATTAATGTATAAGTCTCGAGGATCGTTTTGCGCTTTTGAACTTTCCGAAAGCTTTGGTAGGAGCTGAGATATGAATTTTTAAAGTTGGCAACTTTTACCCATTTTTCGACATTAAATCGCCCCTAGCTCGAAAAGGAAGCATTCTACGAAAAAATATCAAGAGACAAAAAGTGTTTATTTTTGCCCAATTTACCTTGGAAAATTACAGAGCGTTTTTTTGCAATATTTTTATTTTGCAACTTTTTTGTTAATAACAAATTACCTGCCACTCGGACACAAAGACGTTACTTAGGTTTTTTGTTCGCAATAACTCAATGCATCGATTACAAAAGGTTTCATCCTGGCCTCTCCTCGTGGTCGGTTACCTTGATTTTCTAAGCATCTTTTTAGGGGTGGACCGTTCGTCTAATATGGTAACCACAGTTATGGATTGTTTTAAATTTGACATTGACAACTTCATCATTGGCGTCCAATTTTGTGTCATACATTCAGTTTTAGTGAAAAAGAATATTAATATGGGCGATTCTGTTTCCGAGAGTGTCCCTTTGGATATCAAAGACATTGCGCAAAGTGAATGAAGAAAAAAATACGGATAATAGTATGTCCATTTAAGTGCTTTTCTAAAAAGAAAATTTTGGTCAAAATAATCTAAGATTTTAACAAAAGAAAACTAGTAAATTTTTGCAGGAAGCCGACGATAGAACTTATTTTATGATAAAAGTTGCATTGATAGTAAGGCTTGCAGATGCTTGCAAGCGTACTAAAATGACAAATCTGCAGCTACAAAATTTTAAAGATGATATTATTATTTCGATTACGAAAACATTGAAGAAATAAATATGGTGGAAATGGTTCGAACATATAGCGATGAGGCCAAGCAACACAGATCATACTCGATTTTTTTGTGGGGTACTGAAATGGAACATGCATCAAGCAGCCAGTTAGTATTAATACTTTTGGGAAAATGCCATGTAATATAACATTGTTCCTGGGTCTTCCAAATCCTCAACAATATTGTAATGAACCTGTTTTATTTTTTATTTTATTATGTCTGGATTTAAAGATATTTCTTTTTATTTCGGATTATTTTACCCCGGCGGCGAGAATTATTGATTTTTCTACATATATATCAAATATCCACTCGCGGGTCCGACCGGCCGATACCCCACTCTGACAAGCCGTTGGTCACGTGGAGGTCCCACCACGACTGGTGTCAATCCGGTGGGGATTTGGGCAACAAAAGTCCTCGACATTCCCCGAAACCGACAGTTCGTATCCAGAACTCAACACCGAACAGACGTCCACCGCCAGCAAGAACTCTCCACCGAAGCCAGCCCAGAATAACCAGTGAACCTAGTAAGAATTATTTTCCTTATTATTATCCGTTCCAACCGGGTACAAGTCCGAAAAGATTTGTACACTTTAAGTGTGGAATTACTGTGGGCCCGAGAAGAATATTCTTGGTAACCCACACACAAATTCCACCGTCCGTCTCAACCCGCACGACAGTGCAATCGTTGGATTCGGCGTGTTAAACCCAATCCTGACGAAGCCGTCGTGTTTACTACAGCGTTGCTTGGTGTCCCGCACCTTGATGTACGCTGGGTAATAGGGGATATGTGAACCAAGACCTAGAGGTTCGGCGTGCCCACCCAATCTCCGGGTCGTTCCATATAGTATCCGTACGCTTCTCCCTGGTCGGCGTGTATACCCATCAGACCGAGAAGCGTTGTATACAGAGAGTCCGACACCATCGGCCACCAGGACGTATAAAGCTTAAAGGCTAGTACGAATTGTAAGGCGAGATACTTCGGATCCCGTTTCACCATCCTTTCTTTCCGCCTTGCACCGCTTGGGCTTTCTTCGCTGGTTATTGCTATCG